TCCTAAGTAGCCTTACGTTTTTTTTTTCAAAATAAAGAAGTAGACTAAAAACTGGGTAAGATCCATTAAAGTTTTGCTTTATTATACAGTATACAGTCAGCTTTCTTCTTTATTATAATTATTTTTTATATTTTTGCAACTACAGTAGTGACCTTAAGACGGCATAACTACCGTTCCCAACAACGATACACGTAAAAACGAATTTGCGAAACTGAACTGCAGCAATTTCTTCTATAAGATGTGCTGGTCACCCCTTGAATTCTGTACCAACATGGAGCTCCTGCCCAGTTCCGAAGAACGGTTTCCAATTTTTGTACGAAAGTATAAACCTCAGTTTTATATATTTCAGCATTCTCTTGCACAGCTTAACGACTTCATTTGCAAGGTCTGTGCGTCTTTACTGGGCACCTTCTAGTGTGCTGTTGGCTTACTTGGCTCTCTTTAATATATTTAAATGTTACTGGGGGCACGCGGTAGCGCAGTTCGTTGAGGCACTATGCTACAAGATGGAAGGTCGCGAGTTCAATTCCTAATCCTTCCAGCCACATTATTGCCTTGGGGTCGACTCAGCCTCTAACAGAAATGAGTACCAGGAATCTTCCTGGGGGTAAAGGGCGGCCGGCGTGTAAGGCTGACAACCTCACCGCCATCTGTGAACCTATTGTCTAGAAAATGTGGAAGCCTCGACGTCTCACAACCCTATGGGCCTCCACGGCCTGTTACAGGAATAGCTTTACCTCTAAAAGTTTTATCTACGATATGTTTTGACCTTGTAAGTAGATACTTTATACTTAATAGTGACACTTCACAGTCTTTTCTAGTTCATTGTTATAACACTTGGTTAAAACAGGTTCCATTTATTGCCGGACTTGTTAACATTAGTTAAAACTAATTAAAACTTGGTACACATAGCACACTAACAGTCTACAAGCACGACAACAAGTTGCATCTTCATGAGTACCCCCTGAAAATTATGTCATAAACCTCTCTGTTACTATGCACACCGTTCTGCTGCTGCTACAGCATTCAAGCTAGGCTCCCAGCACGTGTAATTGCGACTGCTTGTGTCTGAAACACAAATACTGTATCTCTCATTAGCGAACTGAAGAAAGGGCGAGCGTGTTAATAAGAAAACCCATGTGTGTCAACATCTTGTATTCCACTGCCTCCATTACCGAAAAAGAATCAGGCCACTGAACCGACGAACACAAACAGGAGACCTGGATCCATCGCATCGCGCCACGGAAGATAACAGTTGGATGTTTTGCAGTGGGCAAAGCTTCAGACCCTAAAAGCAAAATTGTACGGTGTTGGGCATTACAGAAGGAGAATTAAGAGAGGATGAAGTAGAATAAGGAAGAAAGGAAAATGGAGAAGTAAAAAAATTTTCCTCACACATGTACGGTGACGCCAAACCTGCCTCTTTGCTTAATACATTAATTATGCACCAGGTCATGAAGGGTAGCTCAGTCAACTATCTAGGAACCTGGTTGCTCTCTTACTGAGAATAAAGCTGCTGGGGCGCACAGAACTCTTGACCTCAAACTAATTATGAGGTCTAAAATAAAGGATTTGTTCCTAAACTTGTCGAGCCTCGTGCTTAAGCATAGAGGAAGTTTCGCCGTTGTCAGGGATTGCGTATTTTTTTTTGTTATCTTTAATATTTTAATATAAAACTGTTCCAGACTTCTAGCATTATCAAAATATAAACTTATTCTAGGGAACAGTCATTCACGAGATGCGACTAGTCGCTCAGCTAGTCAGGAAATTGTCGGCCTTTCAAGGAATTCGAAAGTTCAGTACCGTGTTCACAACAGCTTTCCACGGGTCTATATCCTCAACACAAATAAATCCACACATACCTCTCATGTTATTTCATTAAGACACATTTTAACATTATATTCTTACGTACATCAGTTCTCCTTTCCACGTCATCCAGACCGGCTCTGCGGTTCACTCAACCTCCTGTCCAATGGATACTGGGAGCTATTTTCCCGGGGGTAAAGCCGCAGGGACGTGAAGCTGACCACTCACCTCCAAGTAGCTTAATTGGTTAAGCACAGGTGCAACTTATTACCTTCTACACCAGTTCTTCCAAGATGTCTCTTTCTTTTAATTTTTCCCATCAAAACTTTGTATGAGTCTTTCTTCATTTTATGCGTGCTACATGCCCTGTTTTGACCCTCTAATCCTAATAATATTTCGCGAGGAGCAGGGTTGTCCATGTGTTCAAGGAAGCACCGAACCATAAAGACGTAGGGGGCAGTGGAGGTGTAACTTCAGTATTATTAACCTCGGCATTACAGGGCTGTGAGTGATCAGCTTCACGCCCCTGCCGCTTTATCCCCGGGGAAAGAGCCCCCGGTATCCATTGGATAGGAGGTTGAGTGAACCCCACAGCCGGTCTGTACGAAGTGAAGAGAATATTCTTCAGCCTACCGGAACTCGAACTCCGACCCCTTGGCCGTCCATCCCGTAGCCTGTCGCTATACCGACTGAACTATCCCAGCTCTTCCTATTTTATATGGGTTTTAAAAATAAATAAAACGAAAGCGTTCACTAATTGTTGTGCAGAAAAACAAAATACTGTTTGAACTATAACTAAACAATATGCTGGACTATAATGAATCAGTATTTGCGCAGATCAAATTGTGTGAAATAAGATGCAAACATCGTTGTTATTTGTCAGAAAACCAGAGCAGAAAGAAACAAGGCTGAAGTGTAACAATAGAAAGTGTATACAGAGGAAGGAGCAAAGATGGAGGGGCAAAAAGAGAGTTGTACGCGAGGTGATATAAGCATTCATTGGCCGCTTGTGGCTGGCTGTCGGTGTACAGTGACTCGTGCAACGAGCAGAAGTAAGTTTGTGATGGAGAGCGAGTGACTCCAGCAGCTCAAGGTAGGTACAGCGGTGCAGGTGATCGGCCACCCAGCTTTCACGGCAAGGGTGCTGAGGGTCTAGGACACACCGCCCCACAAGTTTTAAGGCATGGGCACCGTTAGGTTGGGGGCAAGCACGGCATCCGCTTCCCCTGGATTAAAAAAATCAATAGGGAGGGAACACTCAGTCACTCAAGGAGCTGAGCCCTTCTTGAGGAGCCGCAAATTCTGCAGGTACTCAAGAACTTCCCAACATTTTATGGAATCCGAAGGCTCATTACCGTGTTCATAAGAGCCCTCCACTGGTCCCTATCCTTAGCCACATCAGTCCAATCAATACCATCCTATCCTATCTCTATAAGATCTATTTTAATATTGTCCACCTACCTACGTCTTGGTCTTCTCAGCGGTCTTTTTTTTTTTTGGCTTTCCCACCAACATCCTAAATGCATTCCTCTTCTCCCTCAATCGTACTGCATACCCTGCCCATCTTATCCTCCTTGGCTTGCTGATTATACTCGGAGAAGAGTTCAAGTTATGAAGCTCCTCATTATGCAGTTTTCTCCAGCCTCCTGTCACCTCATCTCTCTTCGGTCCAAATATTCTCTTCAACACCCTGTTTTCAAACACCCTCAGTCTATGTTCCTCCCTTAATGTCAGAGACCAAGTTTCACACCCATGAAGAATCACAGGAAAAACTGTGGGGAGGGAACACATCAAATAATAATAACTAAAATTATTTGTTTAAATACTCATATATCCATAACTCAAGTGCAATCATTAACTGTAGTCTTAAAGCAGGCTTGTAAGCATATTCTTTGCCTGCCCCCTTCGCAAAAATGGTTCTAATGGCGCCCATGTACTCAGAATTCCCCATTCTGTCTTTAAGCAGCACAGTATCAGCTGTAAACATAATTGTTAATTAACATATAAGTTAAATCTTAATCAGAACCGAGCAAGCTGTTCTAGAGAGGCCGCGCCATAGCTCAAGCGGTTAGTCGCTGGCTTCGATCCTGGGTTGGGTCAAGTGGGATTTGTGGTGGACAAAGTGGCGCTGGGG